CTCCGGGTGTCTTACTTCCTGGGGCGTAGAGCTGCAAAAAGATTAACTTTGATTGGTTTTTTTTGCTGCTTTGTTTCCAATGTGATTTGGATTAAAACTGTGTGTGGTTTAGCAGCAGCAGCAGGCTTGCAGTGGGGTGAGGCTTCAACAGAAACCCCCCCCCGAGCTCATCTGCTTCCTGGGCGAAAGGGGCAGGGATTTATGCCGGTTCCTCTCTTGCAGGCCCGACTCTCACCTGCGGGAGGTTGTTGGGGCCCTGGAGCAGTTCCTGCAGGAGGGACGCATGTCGGCTCTGCTCTGGGAGGTCTGCCAGCAGCAAGTGCAGGCCGGCCCGGCCGAGCTGCAGGAGGCCCTGCTCAGCAAGATCGTCTGTTTGCCTGATCATGTCAGCAACAGACTCGAGGGGAAAAACCCACCGGTGTTCTTCCCACACAACTACTTCCCGCTCCTGGGGGATGCCATTATCCAGGTGCTGCAGAAGATATCTGACTCCCTAAGAGGTAGGGTTAGAGGAGGACCGTGCTGTACAGACAGCACTGAAGAAGTGTGTTGTGCCATGGAACCCCTTGGCTGAGGCTTGAAATGCAGTTAACGGGTGTTGCAGAGCCTGGCATTAATCCTTCGGGCTGAAGTTTGTTGTGCTTAAAAGCATAAGGTCACAGGAATGAGGAAGGTGGCCAAGGCTTTGGAAAATCCCCCTGAAAGCTGCAGTCCTACAGGTAGTTAAGTAGCATTGGTTGGTCTGTGCTAAAGGAATTGCATAGAAGATTTAGACAGAATCACAGGCTGCTGTGGGTGGAAAGGGACCTTTCAAGGCCCTCCAGTCCAGCCCCCTGCAGGGAGCAGGGACATCCCCAGCTAGAGCAGGGTGCTCAGAGCCCCGACCAACCTCCCCTGGGATGGTTCCAGGGATGGGGCAGCGACCACCTCTCTGGGCAGCCTGGGCCAGGGGCTCACCAGATGGTCTCCCTGGAGCTTTCTCTTCCCCAGGCTGAACAACCCCAAATCTCTCAGCCTGGCCTCATGGCACTGAATGAATCGTTGGCTCTCTTACCATTGTGTTGAAGTGGGACTGAGCTACTTTAGTCTTCTGGCTCTCGCTGTGTATAAATAATACTGAGTGCTGTTTTGTGCCTGGAGGCAGGTGGTGGAGGGAGGAAGAGGTGATGCTTGAAGAGAAAAATCTGTCTTTTCAGGCTTTGGTACTCATAGAGGGAAGGCTGGTTGGAGAATGCTGGTGATGCTCTTGTGAAGCTTGTGTCTGTTTTCTCCCAGGTGGCTCGGACTGCTCAATCTCTTTTGTTTCTCACGTCCTGGGGAAGGCGTGTGTCCATGGAAGACAAAGTGAGTTTTGCTGTACTGTTGGGAGGAGGCTGGAAGGCTGGGATGATAATGATCAACAGAGGGAGTGGAAGGACGGCCGATTAATACTTTGGGGGGGTTTGTGAGTTGGACTGTACAGGGTGCTCTGCCTTCTGTGGCTACTCAACTGTGTATCTGATAGGTGCTGATGGTTTTCTGTCAGCTTTTCTGTGAACATGATCTGTTTTCCTCTCAAAAACTGAGGAGGTGATTTGCCTTCTCATCCTGCTGTCTGGGACGTAACTACTAAATGCTTTCTAGTGCTCTTCACCCAGTGGCCTGAACGTGCCCTGGAAATACCAGGACAAACCACTGCCCTGCCATGCGAGTAGCCTTCAGCCTGGCTTTGCTTACGACTTTGAAGCCACTGAATGCAGAAGTGGTTAACAGGGCTGGGGAAGCTGAGGAGAGATTTTTCTGGTGATGAGGAATACCTGCAAGTTCCTCAGGCTGCTTGGGTTAGCTCTCACCTCAGGAGCAGCGTGGAGCTGCAGACTGTGCGTTGTATTTCTTTGTCTTGTAAGCATGTTGAAATTTGTAGGCTGACCTTGAGTACCGTGGCACCAGTTCTGTCTGCCTGATGTATTTACCCATTTTCTCCTCCACTTCAGAGGAGATCCTGGGTGTTTTGGTGCCCCGCCTGACAGAGCTGACCAAGTCAGACTGCATCTGGCAGAGGATGTGCTGGCGGCTGCTGGAGTGTGTGCCCGAGCGCTGGATGGAGGCCGTGGTCCTCGGCTTTGTGCAGCGAGCACCCGGGTAAGAGCTCTGCCTTCCTCCTCATCCAGAGCAAAGCCTGGAATGCCACAGCAGGCATATGGATTCCTAATGTTTTGTTATTGACCTGTCTCATTAGGGCAGATGTCTTGTCCAGGTTGCTGGGAAACCTGGTTGTGAAAAACAAGAAGGCTCAGTTTGTGGTGACGCAGAAGGTGCTGCTCCTGCAGTACGGCCACGCGGTAAGGGCTCGGTGCTGAGCAGGGCTGCAGTAACTCCTGCTTTTCCCAAACACTGACCCGTGTTTTAGCTGAGCTCCAGGTTTCCTTGGGTAAGATTTAACCCTTTATTCTGAAATGAGCCCTCAGTCCATTGTCTGCCCGTGTCTCACATGAGCTGGGCAGCTGTCCGCTTACATCCCCTCAGCTGCAGGTACTGGAGAGGGAGTGGTAAAAGATTGCCTTGAAATCATGGGATTCATGTGCTCTCTCTGAGTTGATGGCAATTAGCAGAATTACTGTACTCTTTCTTCTGGAACCAAGTAGTTATTTGCACATAATTTCAGTGTTCTGGGGAGCTGGAGACATCGGGTTTATTTAGAAACTGGAAGAAGAGACTGAAGAAGCTGTGACCCACCTCAGGGCTAAGAATTAGACTGAAGAAATGAGACAAGGGCTGGTTTTGTTTTTCTTTCCTGTGCACCCAAGTTTGTCATAAGGTGTTAGGAAGTGTTCTGTGGCTTGTGATGTTGTTGTGAGGGATGTTCTCTAGACTTTTATGTTCCCATGTTTGCCTGGGACTGTGCTGACCTGGTTTTGATGGTAAAAATACTGTACTCTATTTCCATCCTGTTTCTCTATGTTTTTGTCAGCAACTGGATGTGTGTATTTGGTTGGGTTTTTTAAATTTGTTTACTTTTCTGCCTCTGAATGTTGTCAACCATTCTCTTAGAACGAAAAGTTTAATGTAGTAAAAATACAAGCTCGTCATTGCTGGATGACAACTTTATGTCTGGCTAAAGCAAGGTTTGTGGGTTTTGTTGCAGACTGCAGTGCTGCAGAACCTCCTTGGCTACCTGTCCCTGGACAGCCTTCGGCGTGCCCTGCTGATCAAAGTAAGGTTGAGTAACGTGGTTGTTGAGGTATCTGATGGAGAAAATTCTGCTCGGTGTGTGTCTGTGAGGTGCACAGTTTTGGTACTTTTGCATTCATAAGAGTGAGGGAAGCCCAACTGTATCACAAGTAGATTGTCAGATACGAGTCTAAGACTTTCTGCACTGCTAGCGTTAGTTTTACGTATTTAATTAATAAATTGTCTTCCAAGGAGCAAAAGTAATGAGGCTTGGATACTGACAGCTGTCCATGTCCTCTGTCCTTGCGTTCCTCTGGCACTCCCTGCTTGTGTGGCTGGGCAGATGGCAGCAGGTGATGAAGGTAGCTAAGAGCTGTTTGTGTGCCAGATGGTTGGTGCTTTAGGATCTGTCTCATTCTCAGTGAAGGTGCAGATATTTTCCCTCTCTAAGTCAGCAGTGTCATGGAACTTCCAGGAAATTTGTATCTCTGGAAATTCTACTGTTTTCTCAGTTTTTAAATCTTTTTTTCCCTAGATAGACATTCTGAAATTATCTGGAAAACCATACAAAGCCATATGATATGTTATTTTTTTACAATAACATATATCACTTTGCATATCATATTTATTTATGAGAAATCACAGAGTGTTAAGGGTTGGAAGAGACCTCTGGAGATCATCTCATCCAACCCCTGCTCTAGCAGGGTCACCCAGAGCAGGCTGTCCAGAATTGTGTCCAGGAGGTTTTGAAAGTCTCCAGAGGAGACTCCACAACCTCTCTGGGCAGCCTGCTCCAGGTTCAGGCACCCTCACAAGAAGGTTTTTCCTGATGTTGAAGTGGAACTTCACGTGTTCCTATTTGTGCCCATTGCCCCTCGTCCTGTCACTGAGCACCACTGGAAAGAGATTAAAATATTTATCACTTCTAAATTAAAAAAAAAACCCAACACATTATATTTCATAATATATTAAACGAAGGTGGTATGGAGTTCCTAACTGCTCAAACACAGTATGTGTTGGGCCCTGAAATACAAAGTTAGCTCCATTTGTTGGGAGTGTAAAGTTCACTAGGAAGCATGAAGACCAAAGCACCATCAGAATATACAGTGTGCTGCAGGAAAGCATATTTCAAAAACATGTTTCAAAAAGAAGATGACTTATGTGTAGAAAAGATCCATTTCAGGCCAGCTTGAGTTCTCTGGTGCAGGTGCTGCAGGAACTGCTGGAGACCTGGAGCAGCAGCAGTGCTGTGAAGCACTCTCCCCCTGAGCAGCAGCAGTATATTAGCAAGGCCATTCTTATCTGCCTCTCCCACCTGAAGGAGCCTGAAATTGAGAGCTGCAGACAAGGTGAGGCAGTTGGAGAAGCAGGGGCTAGATTTGTTTAGCAGAAGGTCTGACTGTGAGTAGAAAAACACCTTATTTTGATTGATGGATAAACAGAATTTCATCTTGGCCTGCTGGAATCCTCTTTTTCTTTAGCACTGATGCAGAGTAATTCCAGGTGCATAGCTTTAAGTTATGAAGCTGGAGAAGCAAATCTTTGAACTAAGGTTTAGGAGTCCTTAAGTTTTGTCTCAGGAAAACCAGTGGTGTTTGACTTGAGTGGCTTTGAAGCACTCTAAAAACAAGATAAAGATTGACTGGACTTGATGTACAGTCCTTTTTTGTTTCAGTGAAAATGGAAGTATTCTAAATGTAGAATGTGTTGTAATGTTTTGTTGACTTTGTACCCCATGAAAGAGTTTATTATTTTGGTGCTGAAGGGCAGTGCTCCCATGGCAGGAAAAGGAGTCATGGTTGCACGGGCCCCTTTCTGTCTTTCTACCACTTATTGGGTGGCAAGTGTCTGAAGATGCCCTCTCAGGGAACAAGTGTAAAGGTGGGTGTTTGTTTCTGTCTGTTTCATGCAGTGTGTGTGTGTTTGTTTGTTTGTTGTCCCCAGAGCTGCTCACAAACATGATGGAGGGTGTGAAATGCCACTTGGACAGCAACCTGCCACAAGTGCGGCGGCTGGGAATGGTGGTGGCAGAGAGCATTAGTTCAAGAATCAACAGTGATGGGCCTGTCTTGAAGTTTCAGGTGAGGGTTATAATGAAATTCTGCCTGGTCTTCAGGGCTTAGAGGAAATAAAAGTTTCAAAACAGATGACCCGGGGCATTATAGCAAGTTCTAACACTGGTTATCGGGAAGTAATGAGAGGCAGCAATGCTTCCAAAAAATGAAGGTGTCTGCTTACAAACACCAGCTGTATAGAGAAGAGCCAGGTAGCTGTGAGTGACCTTAAGAATGTCCTCTGGTAGAGTTTGGGATAAATTGATGATGGTAAAGGGCTGCTAGAGGATTATCATGTGGCATGAGGGAATTGGATCTGACAGGTGGAAGTTGAGAGGGGACCTTAAACCTAAACCAGTGGTGAACATTCAGCCCCTGGTGGGATGGGAAGACATGCTGCGAGTGAGGTTTTCAAGCTTGACATGGAGATACATGCTCTGCTATTTCCAGTGGAGTTGATGAAAGTTGTGTGATTAAATCACATCAATCCTATAAAACCTGCAGCATCCCTCATGTTGTGTTGCCACTTATTAAATATTCTGAAGATTGTAACTCACGTTAAGGCAAGGTTTGATCAGACACTGCTGTTAAATACAGGGACAGAGCTGACATGGCACAGGTATGTACATATGGAAGTTATATGTAGATGTTATATGTGTATGCTCTATGTGCAGCATAAATGCATTACATGAGTTCATCTGCTTATGATTCAGTCTTCGTTTGCATGCAGTAGAAGGGTCAGATGTTGAATGCTGTCCCTATTTGCAATCCAAGAGTGCAGTAATAGCTATTCTGAATATCTAGTATGAAGAAGATGATGAAACAAGAGAATTGAAGTCCCTTCTGGTGCAGACTCCCCCACTGGAGACCGTTGTCCCCAGCCTTCCTGATGATGAGTAAGATGTTGCTGCTATTCATGTCTATGCCATCTTTTTGCTCTACTCCGTGCCTTTTTTGAGTTATAGCCTAGAAATGTATACACTGCTCTTATGTACTCTTAAGCATAATAATGCACATTGTTCATAACACTGTGTAGTTATGCTACCTACAAATTCATATGTATTAAAATTGCTCATTTGATAGCTTTACGTGGTGAAACCGTGCTGCAGTTTCTAGGGGTCTTAAGTACCCCTGGGTAGAATCAGATGGGCCTTTCTGTTCACATCTGGGCCCTCTGCCCATTCATCAGTGACAAAAATATAGCCTGTCAGTCTAAAACTGGTTCTTTGGTGCTCTTGACTTCCATAGCATCTGTTGAGGCTCCTTAAAGCACTTAGTTTTATCAGCAGATGTGTGAAGCACTTCATGTTAGTCATAAATGAAACTGTCTGGTATTCCAGTGAAACACAGAAGATTTGTGGCTCCCATTTTAGGGATATAATCAGCAGAGACAGTATTTGAGAAGCAGAGAAATTAAGGACATGCCAAAGTCCACAGAAATAGGTATAGAGACAGAAATAAAGTATCTCTGTCATTGCTAGTGGGATGAATACTATAGTTAAAGGTGTTTCTTTTTGTCCAGTGTCATTCATAGCTTCTGATACAGTGCAGGCCACTGTGATCCAGTTAGCAGAGATGGGTCATTCCTCAGCAGTCCCAGGTACAAGTTAATGCAGGGCAAATGCAGCAAGTTAGCTGGTTGCACTTTGTTACCCACTGCCCTCTTCTGTGAAGAGATTCCTGCTCCTCTGCTCACCCCATTCTCCTTCACAGGACTGCTTCTTGTGTAGGCCAAGCTGGGTGGGGGACTGCAGCAGGACTCATTCTCTGCCATTATGTTTGGGCAGCAAGAGTCGATGCTGTGGGTAGCTCTTGCTTGTAAATAAGGATTTATTTCATTGTTTTTAACACTTCTTGTTCATCACAGGAAGAATGAGAAAGCAGATGCTGCACTGCAGTTGACACTGAAAAGTAATGAGAAATCACAAACGGCAGCTCCTGTGATGCCAGATGAGGAGTCAGATGATGAACTTGACAGGTATGGGGCAAGAAACTGGTAGGAAATGGGAAATAATGGCAGGTTCTTAAGAGCAGACCTGGGGAGAAGGGAGCTACCAGCAAATCTGCTTTCTAACAGTGTTCACCTGCGAGTTGTGCAGCAAAGTAGGACTTTGGGTAGGAAATTGCACAGAGTGTGTTAGTAGTTCAAGCAAAGCCCACGTCATGTGCAGCCATTGTAATTATTCCATTGGACTTAGATACACGTTCCCTAGAGCTGCAGATCTATCTCCATTTGACTTGGAAACCTATCTCCTGGAATTATGGATCGTTTTAATAGTAGACCTGCCTTATTCTGTTACTTTACCAACATATAAAGAAATCTCAAGAATCAGCTCCCAGTCTGTGGGTGACCTGACTCCTTCCTGCAGTTGACCAGGAGAGTTCCAGTTCTGGAACCAGTCACAGAACTATTTCTCCAAATGAGCCTCAGAGGAATTTATAGAAGTTCCTGAGGAACCCTTTCAGGCTAGGCTTCAGTGGTGCAGGGGTGACAGTGTTTCAGCCATGTCTGTGCTGGCTCTTCCCCTTTTGTGTGGGTAGCTGGGGGAAGGAAGGCCATCTGTACCCCAGAGACTGACTCCTGCCTTTATTTCTTTTAGTGATGATGACCTCATACCCTATGACATGTCAGAGGATAAAGAACTAAAGACTAAGGCTCCTGTGTACATCCGAGATTGTATTGAAGGTAGGAGATTTTGGGATGAGTTATCTCTTACAGGTATTGGGAGAGTGGTCTCTGGGTGGGTGTATGTTTTTCTGAGCTTATCTGGAGAAGCTGGATGATTTCAGTAGTCAGCACTCAGGTGTTGAACTGTAATTTCTGAGTAATTTAATTTTAGTTCCTAATGCTGATCATGTGCAGAGTCAGTGATATCTGCCTATAACAAGGCAAACTATTGGCAGGAGAAGGTTGGGGATATATACCAAAGCATTCTGTTAATAGCTTTTGTTTCTCTTTTGATTACCTTCAGTCCTGACAGGAAGTGAAGATGTGGACAAATGGGAAGCTACAGTCAAGGCCCTTGAGAGCTTGATTCGAAAGAATCCAGTAGCAACAAGAGAGGTGAAGTAGTGTGAGTTAAGTTACCAGTGGGCTATCATACAGGATTATCTCTTTGCCCTTGTGAGGACACTAAACATGCCAACAGAGCAGCAGGGTGAGGTCAATGTGTACCTGGATTTAAAGCTTTAAGCTTGGGAAGGGAAATAGAAGGGAATAGTTGCTATGGAGGTGAAGCTACAGAGGCCAAAGGAGTAAAGGAGCAGTGAAGGTGCTGGCAGCAGTATGGCACTGAGCAGCTCCAGCACTGGAAATGAAATGCATTGCAAGTACAAGTGTAAAATCATCAAGGCTAGAAAAGGTCTCTAAGGTCCATCAAGTCCAGCCATCAACCCAACACTCCCATGAGCACTAAACCACGTCCTGGAAGAGGAGCTTGCCAGTAAGGGGAGGAATTTGGGGAGGCTCCATGCTTTCTGCTGGGTGGAAAAAACATCAGAGATGCAGTTTACAGAGCAGCCACAAATTCCACAGAGCAATTGACTTTAAACTTGGATTGAATTGATTTTTAATTGAATTTGAATGTAATTGTTCCTCAGCCAAAAGGGGTGTGAAATCAAATGGACTTTCCCTTTTTGCTTGTGCTCCCTCTTCCTGAGTGATTGTACTGGTCAAGATGAAAAGCTCAGGTAAGAGGAGCTTGAGGCAAGGTCACTGGTGAGGTCAGTGGTCACCACCACTTGTTAGTGAACAGTTGAGGGTGGCAGAGATACAGACCTCTGCCAGCTGAGGAAGGGAGGGGAGGTGTAATCTGGTCAACAATGTGCAAGGTGCTGCTGCTCATCAGACAGGTACTGAGCATGATGGGCTTTGAGCATGGTGCTGTACCCTTTAACCCATCATTATAGTGACAAGTCCTCCTCTGTCATGGTACCACCACTTGTCTAAAAAGCCACAGTGAATGTGGGCACAGAAACTGGTGCAGGGGTTTGTTCAGGGTTTTGAGAAGTCTGTCTTGATGGTATTGAGCTTAATGTGTTTTCTCTCCCTCCTAAGTAATGGACGTGGTGCCTGTATTCCATTTCATTGTGTTGATTAAACATTAGAAATGATGTGTAAATCCTGAGAGGAAAAAAACCACCTGCAGGGATTTGATTCCTTTTTTCATATTTTGAGCAGGTTAGCGTGGAGCTGGCAAAGATCTTACTGCACCTGGAGGAGAAGACCTGTGTAGAAGGCTTTGTGGAGCTTCGTCAGAGAGCTCAAGTAGCTGTTTTAACCACAGATCCAGTGCCTGTGAGTCTCTCCTACTGCTTTCCCTTTTCCATTTGGGGCACAGGCAAAAATTTAAGCAGCTGAAGTCTCCTGCTAGCTTGAGAGGAGCAGCTGTCGGGGTGTGCTGGAATAGCTGGTTCACACAGCACGTGTGTGGGCTATGTGCTGAAGAGTCTGCAGTGGGTGACTGAAACAACAGGAAAGAGAAAACTGTCAGAGCTGTGGTGGACTGGAGGAGTTGTTTGGAGGCTGTTAGTGTACCTGGCAAGGCAAATTAGATATGGCCTTGTTGCACTAAAGGGAAGATTGTTTCACACAGAGGGAAGCTGAGGCACAAAGGGCTTCTCTAGAGGAAGACTTAGCTGGTGATTGTAATCGTAGAATATTTGGGGTTGGAAGGGACCTTTAAAGATCATCTGCTTTCAACTCTTCCTGCTGTGGACAGGGATATCTTTCACTAGATGAGGTTGCTCAAAGCCCTACCAACCTTACCTTGAACACTTCCTATGATCCTGTGTGATTCCTATCCACAGTTTCTCTGGGCAACCTGTTCCAGTGTCTCACCACCCTCACAGTGAAGAGTTTCTTTCTTGTGTCCAGTCGAGATCTATCCTCTGCCAATTTAAAACCTTTACCCCTCGTCCTATCAGGGCAGACTCTGGTAAAGTCTCTCTCCATCTTTCTTATAAGCTCCCTTTGAGTATTGAAAGGCTGCAGTCAGGACTTCTTCGAAGTGCCAGAGCTGCCATGGCAGCTGTGTGGGTACCTCTGCGTGGGAGGCAGAGGAGAATGGCAAAGTGTCACTTTGTCACTTACTTCCTTCGAGAGAATCTAGACATGGAAGTCTGAATTTCATGTCTCTTCCCTTCTCTTGGAGACTTGTTAACGGGAAGCAAGGCTTCTCCTGAAATGGAGTGCTTTTAGAGTTAGTGGGAAAACTGTTTCCAGCCTGGGTTTGTGTTCACTGTGCCTTGATTTTTCCGCACAGGTAGCGAAGTACTTGACCTCCCAGTTCTACTCTCTGAACTACAGTCTTCGTCAGCGCATGGACATCCTGGATGTAAGTGCTCTTCTCCTCACTTCCCACTCTCCTTAGGTCTTTGTTGCACCAGTGTGGTTTCCCTCAGTTACCTTTGGGGTTACTCCTCATGTGGGGAGGCAGAGGCGTGGGAATCTCTCACGTCAGTATTCCTGCCTGGCATTCCTCTCCTGTTTGTAACCCTGCCATGCTCCAATAACACAGTGATCCTTCCCCACAGAATGCAAAATACATGGTGGCCATTTGCCTGGGAAAAGCCACCATTTCCTAACTTGTCATCAGTCTGTTGTAGCTGCACTTTCTCAAGAGAGCAGTCTGCCTGTGGGCACACCATTGCACGGCCTGTGTCTGAAGGAGCTGCTGTTCTGTTCCAGGGCTGAGGGACCAAGTGCTTGGTCAGTGCCTTGGAGCCAGCTGGCCTGGGGGGCGGTTACGTGGCTGTTCTTTGTTCCAAACCTGTTGTACCTTTCTGCCTTGCTGTTCCTATCACTTTGTGTGCATGTTGCTCTGTTATTGTTGCTCCCTAGTACAGGAATTACCCGTTTTTAACAGAGTATTTTCCCTATTTTTCACCTAGGTATTGGTTTTGGCAGCCCAAGAACTGTCCTATCCCAAATGCCATGGGAAGACCAAGCATTCTGGTGCCCAAACCCCTTGTAGCCAGCTCCTTCCTGGAAGTAACAGCTCTAAGGACTGGAAAAGAATTGTTGATGAGAGGATCAAAAGCAAGACTCGGAGATTTGCTACGGTGAGGCCAGGACAGTAACAAACTCATGTCAAATCCAGAAAAAATAGAGTGCTAGGAGTTGCTGTAGTTCTATGTGGAAAAGGCAAAATACCTGTGAAATTTGGCCCAATTCAAAGGAAGGATGCTGTAATTCAAACTTAAGTTTATCTTAGTATCTGTCTGAATCTTCTGGTGCAGAGTACCAACTCTTCTAGTCTTCTCCCAGCAGGGGAAGGAAAATAAACCTCGAGCTCCTTGCCTTGCATGGAGGGCTGGCTGTGTTCTGTGCTTGTCCTGAGCTTGCTTGGCCGCTGCAGGGAGCTGTGACTGCACCTCACAGATTCCAGAGCTGCCTCCATCAGACCAGCTGCCTCTGGGCTGGACTGTCTCAGCCTTCCTACTTCCCAAGGAGATAAATTGATCCAAGTTTCCTAGTTCCCAGAACTCCCCTGTGATTTGTCCTTGAGAACTGGCTTTCCAAAACTCCCTGATCCCTTGCACGTTCTTGTTTCTTATCTCTAACCCAGCAGTACTGAGCTATATTTTACTGAAATATTTGGATGTGTGAGAGGATCTGGAATGGGAAATGAGCCGCCCAGTCGAGAAACTAGTAGCTGTGGGTGGACGCACAAGCAGTGGCAGACACTGGGATGGCTGCAAGGAACCTGGAGTCTTGACAGTGTCCAGTGAATTGGAAGAGTGGGATGCTGCATCTTGTGTCTAAACTTGATTTTTCTCTTGGATAGGGTCAGTCTCGGGTGGAACTGGCTTCCAGCCCAAATGAGTTCAATTCTGTTGCTGGGCACTTCTTTTTTCCATTGATTCAGCACTTTGACAGGTGAGTGTGGACACACTGGGATGTGGGCAGGGCAGCTGCCAGAGTGAACCCTGCTGCTGGTTCTGCTCGCCTCGGAGCAGCAGGTTAAATCCCAGGAGCCATGCAGGGCCCAGTGACATCACAGTGGTGCCTGGCTGGCGTGTAAAGCTCCGGGGGCCTCGGCTGCCTCCCCCGGTGTGGGTCAGGCAGCTGCAGAGCTCGGGCTGCAGTCTGTGTCCAGAGCCAGCTCTGCCTCAGTGTGGGCCTGTCACCTGGGCTGCCCCTTGGGACCGTGTCGTAGGACACAGTTTATTGTCAGTCATCCAAGCCTTTGCTTGCCTAGGGGTGATTATCTGATTCCATGAGAATCAAGATTCTTGTAATACTGGTTTTAATGGTTTGTTTCTAGCATGGCAGTGGTGCTGGTTTTACACAGGCTTCTTTCTAAGTGAAGCCTGTTGGTAGAATAAGTGATCCCTGCTGTAAGAGTGGAAGGTGTGAGTGGTCTGGGAGCGCAGATGAGAGCAAATATCCGTGGCCTTGTTCAGCTGGGAATGGCTGTCGTGGCTGTTGCCACAGGGATTTGGGCTGGTGGGGGACACTTGGCCCTGCAGAACCACCCTGGCTGTTCCAAGGATGCACTGGTGTCCTCCTCACTGCTACGGGACTGTCTGTGTTCTACTTCCCAGGCCTTTGACAACATTTGATCTCCTGGGGGAAGATCACTTGGTCCTGGGAAGACTGGTCCACACTTTAGCAATCCTGATGTACTTGGCCATCAACACTGTGGTAAGAAAGGCTGCGTGGGCTTGCAGGGAGCAGCAGAGACCCCCAGCCTGGGAGCCCAGCGGTGCCTCCCGAGCAGCAGTGTGCTCTGCAGCCTGCTGCACTTGGGCTGGCAGCATGTCTTGAGTCCTGTGTGCTGAGAGTTTGTGAGAAGGGCTGGGAAAAGTGGTCAGAAAAGCGAGATGGGGTTCAAGACACCCCTGTGCTACCTTTGGCTGCTTCTGGCAGAAAAGCATCAGCTGCTGTGGGAGGCTGGGCACATCCTTCCACTTTACTGCCTAAGTTTCCTCATCTGTAAAATGAAGCTAACTGACCCTGATCTTCAGAACAGTGTGTCTCAAGGTGCAGCTGTGGGGCCGGTGTGAATGAGGAGGTGCTGAGTGCTCCTGTCCTGACCCTGTTTTGCAGGCAGCTGCTGCCATGGGAAGGGCACTGCTGGAGTTTGTCTGGGCTCTGCGTTTCCACGCCGACTCGTGAGTTGTGGTTGTATGCTTTCATTTTTAAAGATCAGCTGGCAGCCAGGCTCCAGCTATGGCTTGTCCTTGTCCAAGACTAGCACCTGACTATGTCAGTGACTTGATGCATTAACTCTGTGCTCTCCTCCAGCCTTGTGTTCTGTGACTGAGTATTGCAAGAATATGCAGTGAAGGCACTGTCAGACCAACACGTGAACTTGGCTAGTTCTAGTGTGGAGGTGCAGTTAGTGCTTCCAGAAAGTGTGACAAATTTCTTGATCCTTGAGATAGTTCCCTCTTCGTTTACTCAGGGAGCTCAGAAAACTTTAGATTCAATTCCAGCATTCAGCTCTGGAAAGAAATTAAGACTTGTAGCCGAAATGCTGTAAGCATCCCGTTTCTCTTTTGCTCCTGGAGTTGTCCAGGACTCTGAATTACGCCAGGCTGCCTGTGCCACAGCATGGCAGGGGCTCCCTGTGTGCCACTGCGCCAGCTGGTGCCTGGTCACGCTCCAAGTCACCACAATCAGAGACGTGTGAAGCTGGACAGCCCTGCGGGGAGGGCAGGCTGCAGCTCCAACTGCAGGCTCTCACCACTCTCCCTCCAGCAGGTACGTGCGCCAGGGCCTTCTGTCCTGCGTCTCCTCCGTGCTCCTCAGCGCCCCTGCGGAGCGTCTCCTGGAAGACATGACAGAAGAGCTCCTGGAGACTCTGTCCTGGCTGGGAGGTAAGATGAGGTGGTGCACACCAGTGTTTTTCTGGTTAGGGGTGTAGTCTGTGTGCAGCACCTCTTTAATTGTGATGGTAGCAGTAATGTCCTAGTGTTGTGCACCAGACATTTACGTGGTCAGTGTATTTAATGCTTGTTTGTAAGCATGGGGCAAGTCCCAGATGCTGCTGTATGCTGCACAGATGTGTTACTGAGGTACCCAAAGCACAAGCTGAGAGCTGCGTGTGGCATTCCAGTGTGGCTGTCTTCACAGGCCGGCCAAAAAAATCCCCCAGTGTATGATGTGCCTCCTTTTTCCAAGCGTGCTCACACCCTACGTGGGCTGCGTTCATGGGCCCTGGGAGGCTGCAGCTGCACAAATTGGTGGCCAGGTATTGCAGTGTGCTGGGAGCACAAAAGGAAAGAACTCCTGTGTGCTTTGTAGCTCTGAAGCCTCCACTGTATTCGCAGTGGACCTCATGTGACTCCCTGGGTTGGTTTCCTTCACCATTCTCGCTCTGGGTGAGGTGGCCTCCCCGAGGGAGCAGGCAGGAAGCGTCACTGACACAGCTGGCCTCTGATCCTTGCAGGTTGTGGAGCTCTGTGCCCTTTAAAAGGAAGAGAGTTGCCTCAGGGGGTCGAAAACTCTGCTTTTCCCATGACATGGTGTGCTCTGAGGAATCTGCTTGTCTCTGCAGTTAACGCTGCTGTTACTGAGCAGAGCCTTTCCAGGGATGCTATAAATGTATTTTCAGCATGAGGGGCTGCATAATCTGTTTTTAAGGAGTTATTTTTGGAAGGAGGAGGATGACAGTGCTAGTAGCATCTTTTTATGTCTCTAGGTAGTGTAATAGCCATCTCTTTGCATGTAGTGCTTTTGCATGAAAATGACGTGGTGGGAATGAGAGCAGAGTAAGATCAGAGTTGTGTGTATAGCAGAGAAGGGGAAATTATTGTGGAGCCAAGTTGTATTCTTTGAAGGTTTTTAAACAGCTCCTACATCTGCTCAGATAATGATTTCAGTGCAGTTTAAAAGGGCTTCTGGAGCTGCTTCCTGAAACACGGCAGCCTCTTGGACTGTGCCTCTGCTGCTCGTCGTAAGGCTGTTGGTAAGAGCTGTCACAGGGAGGCTCTGGGCTCCTCCTTGCTGCTCCAGCAGCTGCAGTCGCTCACTGGAGACCTGCTGCTGTCACTGAACTGTGGTTTTGAGCTAGCTGACTTGCTGTTGCTTCGTGACTCTTCTGGATAAGAGCTGGAAGAGGTGTTGTGTGTTAGATCTGCTGCTGCAGCTGGGAAGCAGGACAGGGTGTCAGGCACGCAGGCCTGATGGCCAGAGAAGGCCCCACTTTGGTTTCAGCTTCGCTTCTCCTGCTATGGCTAAAGCAGAATGAGGAGTAGTGGGCTGGGAAATGTTGCCCATGAAGCATTTGGCACAAAGCTACGAATCTGCTGCAGCTCCTTCCTGTCTCCCCCCTTGCAGGGTGCTGTCACTCGGGTGTGAGTGGGGCTGGCTGTTCCTGCCCAGCAGTCTCCGGGCTCTAACCAGAGCTGTTCCCAGCCTGCTGCAGGGAGCTGCTTCCCTCGCTGCCGTGCGTCCCTTGTGGGTGCTTTGGGACGTTCCAGCTGGGGACAGGGGCTGGGATCCCCCTTGCACTTGCTGGGCGCTGCCCTTCCTGCCATGCTGGACCTAAGGCTGGCCTAATCTTTCCTGGGAGAGGGAGGGAATACTGCCTGCTTCTAGGAAACGGTTCCTTTGATTGCTCAGCAGCTGCCTTTGAGGGAATTCCCAGCCCTTGCAAGAGCTGTAGAGCGATGTGATAGGTAAGTTCTGTGTGAGGACCTGAGTGACCCCCTGGTGCCCTGTGCCTCCCTTCCAGTGGCAGCAGTTCAAGGTCTGTGCTCATGGCAATTAGAAATGATGCCAACATCAGTCTCAGCTTTCGAGCCTGTACTAATCTGTCTTGTAGCCTCCCCCTTTCTGCCTTTTGTAGAGGGAGTATGGAAACACCATCGTGAGGCTCTGGCAGGGGTTATAAATAGCCCTGCTCCCTCTGAGTGAGTCATGTGTTTGGGCTGAGAGGAGCAGGCTCTGGGCACACTGCTCGTGCGTACAGGATATCCTCACGCGGGCTCGCTGCTCTTCCAGGCTCCCCCTGCTCAGACATCCTGCGTGCATCCTGGTTCTTACTCTGCAGGCCCATTAAGGGCCCCTGAAATAACAGCTGCTGGAAGCAGTTTCATGCTCTCCTTTACCTGCTGCATTAAGTGTGAAAGAACTCCTAGTTTAGCAGAAGAATAATCTTTCAGAATGGGGAATGTGTTGCAGCCTGGGTTCTGCCTCTTTCTCTTCCCCGTTCTGAAAGGCAGCGTGGCCACAGATTTCAAGAGAGAGCACGGAGCATTTGTTTAGGTTGTAGGGATTGGCAGAAGGAGACTTTAGGCTTTTGAATAAGTGGATTTCTAACTGCAAACTGTGTTCATGCTAATTGTTTGCAGAAAAGCTACAGATAGCTTCAGGGCACAAGCACAAATTCTGGCATGGGGGTTATCCCCTGGACTGCCAGGTCAGGCCCTTTCTGTGCTGTTTCAGCCTGGCTGACTGTTTGTTTCTGCTACAAGACTGAACAGAGCATCGTTCCATGTGCCAGTCAGGGCTCAGCTAAACTCGTGCTGCTTAAGATCATCAGGTCTGTGCAGCTTTGCCTTCTGCTCTGAGATGTTCCTGCAGGTGCTCGTGTCCACCCCGGGCCGGGCTGCGTTTGTTCAGTGCTGGTCAGTGAAACGACAGGGAGGTGTTACGTGAAGGGCCGTTTTTAGCCCATTTTGCAACTAATGGCTGCTGCTTCTTTTACAGATGTGGTGGAGAAAGATCCAGATGGGGACTGCAGGAGGCTGGCCTTGCAGAGCTTGCTGCTAATGGAGAACTTGAAAAAGAAACTCAAAGCTGTCCCTTCCTAGCTGAAGGGTAGAAGAAACGAGCTTTACCTCATCCTCTTGCCAGCTGGATGTGTGTAGGCACTGCTGGAGCCTCTTCAGCAGTCACCTGGCTGGAGGAGAGGAAGCAGGGGGAGGGTGCAGAGCTGTAAGCCAGCGAACCTGACTTGACATCTGGACTTTGTAGTGGCGGCCAGCGCAGCGCGCGGCCATCCGGTACGGCGTGTACAGAGGCAGGAATTTGGCCAGCCCCGCGTCCTCCCCGCGCCGCCCAGCCCCCTCCCCAGCTATTTATAACCTTGGCAGATCGGAGCACTCCGCTAAAAATACAGGGAGGATCTCACAGCAGACTTGTCAGAAAAACAGGAGGGCTGGCGAGGGCCACTCACCTCCCAGGACCGTCTGTGACATGCCCTGACAAGGGCTCCCGTGTCTTCTGGCGGGCGGCGTTTGGGGGAGTCGTTCCTGGTGTGCTGCTGGACGGGGCCGTGGGGCAGGGGTGGCACCACTGATCAGATCCCAGCACTGAAGAGAGACTTCTGAAAATGTGTCAGACCTTAAAGGCTTGAGCTGCAGCTGTGCTGGGGTTAGGATGGACAATGCAGAAATTCTTTTTGTATAATCTCAGTAAGTTTCTAATAAAGGATAACTAACATCCAGATTGTTGCTGTAAAATCTCTCCCCACCCTTCTCCCCTGAAAGCAGACAACTTAAAACCTTCCTATTCGCCCTAAGTTTTGAAGCAAATCACAAAACAGGAAAAAGACAAATCATTGTAGGCAGAAGGGCTGATTGGTAAGAAGTGTATGAGAGTGACTGTCAGTAAATCTCCACGGGGCAGGGGAACGGGCTTAAACAGGAGCAAAACCTTGGCTGCCTACGCTGGGCTTCACTTTCATGTCTTACTTGTGCTGGGAAGAAATGTGTATCTGGAAGTCTGACTAGTGCAGGGTAGCTGAGAAAAAAAGCTTCACAGTGAGGAGAGAAGCTTCAGTGGCTCAAAGTGTCCCAGCTAGAGCTGGGAGGATTGGAGCGGGTGACCTCCCGAGGTCTGTTCCAAGCCCAGCCACTCTCTGGTTCTGCAGGTTCCTCAGCCAGGTACCTCAAGCCTCTAGGACCCTACGATGTTTTATTAAATACAAAAGCTCTGGGCTGGGGGAAGTCTCCCCTCAGTCTGCAGTAGGGGAGGAGTTTCACTTCTACCCAAGCTCCCACCCAAATTTGATGGAGATGGTTTTCAGAAGTTCTGACAGCTAGGGAATGACAAATCAGCACCTCAGCAGATCAAAGTTCTTAAAAATTTTGTCAGCTGAGGAGTTTCCATCTCAGTTACTCAGCGCTTTTCTGTACTCGGAAGTTACTCTACACAGTTGGGGTTTTTTCTCCTCCAAATTTATTAAAATAGTAAAACCAGCTTCATTGCAGCCTACACATGTAAATCTTTGTATGTAGTGTTTGGGATAATATATTCCCTTCAATGTTATTGCTTGTACAGTCAAGCAGAAAGAATAAATTTCTTGGTAATAACCAAAAAGCCTTTTCACAGCAGTGTGTTGACTGATACATCACTGCTAATGAGGACAGAATAAATGACCTAGTATTAAAGTCAACTTTGCATTTGCTAAGGGTAAGTTGTCAAGGGTCCTCTACTTCATCAACCACTTCTTCTTCCACCTCCTTGGTCTCCACGCTGCCGTGGAGCGTCCGGCCGACGGGAACGCCCGCGCCGCGCTGAGCGGCCTCCACCGTCTGCTGCGTCACGAAGTAGCTCAGGCTCTGGGGTGGAATTCTTCTCTGCAGCTCCTCCAGATACTGATAAGCCTGAAGTGAAACAGAGAGGTCACTGTCAGGGCTGGTGGTGGAGCGTCCGTGGGGCTACTGGGAGCCCCAGCAAAACAGCGACGAGCATCAGCCCTTGGGGTGGGGCCGAGCTCCTGGGGGGAGCTCGGTGCTGAAGGGGCCAATGCTCAGCCAGGAGCTGTGGCCTTTGCTCACTGGATGACCTTTCAGAGTGACTTGGGGCCGTTCTGTCTGGCTCCTCATAGCTGAAACTCAGTGAAAAACATTAAAATCAAGTTAATCAGCACAGCCTCCTTACATTTCATAATAAAGCGTTACAGCGTAGGCCAAACACGAGTCTGGCATTTCTGCTCTGAAGAAGTGCTTCACCATTTCCTCAAATAACTGCAATTTTACAATTTTCCTAAAAGCATAGAATTGTTTTGGTTGGACCTTTAAGCTCCTTGAGTCCAACCATCCCCCAGCACTGCCAGGTCCCCACTGCCCCGTGTCCCTCAGCACCACATCTCCACAGCTTGGAAACCCCTCCAGGGGTGGGGACTCCACCACTGCCCTGGGCAGCCTGGCACAGCCCTGGGCAACCCTGGCAGGCAAGAAATTGTTCCTTGGGTCCAACTTAAACCTCCCCTGGAGCAACCTGGGGCTGTTTCCTCTTGTCCTATTGCTTTTTCCTGGGTTGAAGAGCCCAACCCCCACTTAGCTCCAGCCTCCTTACAGAGAGTTCTCAAGAGCCAGAAGGTCTCCCCTGAGCCTTCTTTTCTTCAGTCCAAACACCCCCAGGTCCCTTATCACTTCTGGCCAGACTCAGGCTCTAGACCCTTCCCCAGCTTTGTTGCCCTTCTCTGGCCACGCTCCAGCCCCTCAAAGTCCTTCTTGGAGTGAGGGGTCCAAAATGACCCAGGATTCAAGGGGCAGCCTCTCTAGAGCCGAGTCCGGGGGGACGATCCTGCCCTGTTCCTGCTGGCCGCACCAGTGCTGATCCAAGCCAGGATGCTGGTGGCCTTGTCTTCTTTGGCCAAGTGCCAAACGTACAGTGCAATTGCTGAGATGTTCTCAGACTGACCCATCTGTACTAAACTCAGAATGATGAAGAGCCCACCCCTATGAGTGCTCTGTGTCCCATGAACTTTCTTTTTCTGTTTGGTACCACAATATGAGAAAGGTGTTCATGTGGCTATAGGTCCTGAGGGCTACCATGCCCTGCTGAGCAGTTCAGCTCCTGCAAAGGAGTCTCTAGTCTGGAATGTCTTCCTGTGTGAGCCAGCAGGTTACAGCAGGCTGGCAGTGTATCTAAGATACAGGCTCTAAGAAGGAAGAACTCACCGTAGGGAACTCTGCCGCTTGGACGTAATGTTCAACCAGAAAGCCCAGGACGTCCCCGTGACGGATGGCGGTGTCAAAGTCTGGTTCAGCTAAGAGAAGTTCACATTGTCTGACTGCTTCTTTGGGGTCTTCAGAGTAAATTCTAGTAAAGAGCAAAAGGAAATTCATCAGTCTGAGTTATCTCAAGCATTCAGCTTGTCATGTGGAGAACAGAGAGGACTTATTTTACTGTGTTACATTTCTGGCAGTGCTACACTTTGCTTGGTCAACAGCACTTTAAAAAAAAATAAATCACATAATGGGTTCCCTGCTAAAAAAACAGTAACAGCAGCTGCAAGTATTTACTAAACTGCAGGCACTAGAAAACCTTTTCTTCTTGTGTGCTGTTTCTGCCTTTAGTTCCCCAGCTCTGCATGCTGCAGCTCACCTCCGGGCATGGATGAAGCGCTTGATGAGGGTCAGCTTGCTCTGCAGCTGTGCCAGTTTGCTCTCCTGCCCCTGGGGGCTTCTAGTCTCTGCCTTGGCCAGGCACTTGTATGCTTCTACCAGTGCTCCGTGTGCTTGCTCGTAGTTCTGATACTCATCAATTTCTACCTGCGAGCAGAGAAACAAGATGAATGTCTTTGCTCCCAAACACCTTCAGCACTCACAGAAGGGGCTTTACCTGAGCACATGCATCATAGAAACCAGCCAGGAGGTCAAGGGCCCTTCCTTTTGTATAGAAGCTGATGATGTTCTTCATAATGTCTGGGTTCTTCCGCCAGTCCAGTGACTGTAGGTAGTTGGCTGCCATGATATAAATCTCTCTCTGTCTGGAAACTCCCGCAAAGAAGACAATTTTCTCAGTATCTCCAGATCTCAGCAGTGCCTTCATAGCCTAGCAGTGGAAAGAGGGCACAGGGGAGGAGAGGGGTTGAAAAGTATCATTGTGAATGCAAGGACACAAGCTATGATAAGATGGCTAAGAAGCCTCATCTGGGTAAGTCTACTGTATGAAGACTGTGCCTAGATTTACTTCCCAAAGCACCCTTGTTTTGAGAAATCTTAGAAAGATAATAGGCTCAGCCTCTTCAGCCTTTTTTTTTTTCCCTGAATATCCAAGCTGACCTTTAACTTGTTTCCTGCTTGGGTGTATTTCTTGGTTGCCATGTGGTAATTGCCTTGTCTCATGCAGCAGTCAGCAATTTGCTCCAACAGCTCTCTCCGGGATGCCTCAGGGAGGTCCTTGGAGTCCTCAGAGACCGTCATCTTCTCAGCCATCTCCTCTGTGATGGTCAGGTTCTGCTTCAGGCAAAGTTGCAGAGCTTCATGGTACTAATGGAAGTGAGAAAGCAATGAGCTGTTGCAAAGCTACCACGATCCTTCACGTTGCTTGTGGTGTAACCTAGAGAGCTGAGCCAGTGGGCTATCACCCCATGAGGGACTGGCACGAGATGGGCCTTTAAACCCTACAAACGTCTCCACGGATCTGTTTACCAGCAAAGCTAAATGTATGTCCATGGCCATCCACCCCCGTTGTGCTCCTCTTTCCCTGGACATGGAGGGACCAGAGAAACTGGAGTTTACCTTTTTGGCTGCCAGCAGTAACTCCACTGCCTTCTCGTACTGAGCGTGTTCAGTGAAGAAATCAGAACAGCGGGCCAGCAGAGCTGGGTCTGAGTTCTCATCCAGGTCTTCAGCAATTTGCTGTAGGGCCCCAAACTGCTGTGTGGCAAAGGCCAGCTCCAGTGCTTTGGAGAAGTGTCCTGCCTGCAAAATTAAGAACGAGTCTTTAAAGACTAGAATGAGCCCTGCAAAATCAAGTGTGGCTCAATAAAGCATTACCCACTACGAGGAAAGGAGTGATAAACAGCACACACAGGAGAAACTACAGCCGAGGTAATGTCTGCTGCTGTAGGAGCTGCTTCAGTTTAAAGTTTGGAGTTTATTTACTAAAAAGACATTTACCTTGTGGTATAACATGACAGCTCTGTCCATCTGCTCCTTTTCCTCATAATAGCAGGCTGCCTCTATCATGTCTTCTGGAGAGCTCAGCAGAGCCAGGTTCATCAGCTGATCATCTAAGTTGTTCTCCTATTCAAAAGCAAAAGATTTGGCTCTGGGTATACAGCAAACAGATTTCATAATTCTGTCTTGTGGCAAGCCTACAGCTTTAGCCCATAACACCCTTCTGTGTAAAACCTGCACCAACACAAGTAACCCCCGAGCTGCAGCAGTGAACATTTGTTCCAGGCCGTTTTCTGTTGAGATGTAGAAAATAAAAAAAAAATGTTGAGAATAAAAAAAAAACCCCCCCCCCCCCCAAAGCCTCTGTCGATGCCCCTTTTGCAGAGGGTGCAGGCAGGAGCCAGGAGCACCTTCCCAGCGGGCCGTGCAGAGGCAGTGTCACACGGCAGAGCACGGGCAGCAGCGGGGCGTCCCGCACTGCCCC